TGTTACAAATACATTACCAAACGTCGAAGGAACTGTGTATAAGGTAGACAAAAGCTATGTGAACTTGAGTACCTGTAGATATCTAATACAATATTTATGGCCACAAAAGACATTGTACTGGTCACATAAAACCGGGTAGTACCTCATTTTTCAGTTGAACGGCTTATAAACTTGAAATAAGTTGAGCTCAGATGACATCTAGGTCGCCATGAAATGACAAATGTTGTGTCTGGAATACTTTTGTCCCACAGATGCACCTGATACAATGACCTTAGACAGAAGCAACGTCAGTTCTGATGGTTCATTTGGTTAGAGCGCCTATCTCCCGATTCACCCGCCCGGGAGTGAGTTCGAGCCGCCTCAGGCTCTCGCCATTTGCTCTTGACCGATATGGTATGCGGCCGGTGGCAGCGGCCGCGACAGAGGGCAGATGACGTCAGACAGCAGGACGGATCGCGCCGAGCATTGTGGCACGTTAAGCTTTCCCCATCTAAGTCTGCCGCTGACCTGGAATTGCATGATCGGATGGTAGGGGTCAGGGATCACACAACAAGCACTACATAGCCCTGAGTTCTGATCCCAGAAATCCACCCATCAGAAGGTTCGGATTAAATCTTTAAAAAGGAAAAAAACACATTGTGAAGAAAAATATTGCTCTTGTAGGTTGCTCGCGGAATCATTTTGAACGGTGACCTGATTTGAGCTGACCCATGTGGGAAACAAAACGGTCGAAATGAGCTCCTCACAGTCTTCGTGCTTATTTTCGTGCTTCCAATAACCGTCTTGACGTGTTAACATGTGCTTTAACTGCATTCATCGGAACACCCGTTTTATATCTATTTTTCGTGGCCTTTTTTATCTATCTTGATCTATCTTTCGTGGCCTCTGGTGACCTCACATTTGACCCAAGGCAAAACAATTGGGGTGAGTTCTTCATGATTTGGCAAGAGCTCCAAAACGGTATCTTTTCTCATGAGGCGTCTGGAAGTTGGGGACCCCAGGGGAAAGTCAACTTCCCCTTCCCAGCCCGGTGCGGTGGTCCCAGACTCCTGCCAAGCCCTGGTCACGCACGACATTCTTTGCAGTCATAATCAATGATAAAGAAGACACGCCTCCACAAGGTATCGGCCGTTCTTTGTTTGTCGATGATTTCGACATTTGGTGCAGTTCATCGGCCACCCGCGTGCTGGAGCAGCAACTGCAGCTCGTAGTAAGGCATCTGAAGGAGAGAGGCGTTCTTAACACTTTCTTTTCTCTACTTTGTTTTTTAACATTTTGTAGCACGTCAGATACAGTTTTATCCTTATCTTCGGAATGAATGGACTTCAGGGATCAGAGCTCACGCTAGCGGTGCTTTTTGTGTGAGCCCTGAACTATACCATTCGATCACGCAATTTCATGTTTACTGTAGAATTTGGTGGCGAAAGCTTAACACGCGCTCGGGTGGGGGTCAAATTGACCTCTCAAAGGTTTTTCCCAAATGGTTTCCGAACGGTGCGGCGTAGCCGGACCAAATTTTGCATACTGTAGACAATTGAATAGCGGATTGCCTGACATAAACAATGTGGACGGTACCATGTAAGGTCGCTGACCTATGGTAGGTCAGAGTAAGGCTATGGTCTCAGCGAAGTCCATTTCTAGGGAATCGTTCAATCTGATGCAACAGCGGAGTGTTAGACGAAGCTATAAATATCTGAGGTGTTTCTTAGGCAACAGCAATATTGCATGAGCAAATTACGTTGACCTAAGGTCAGGTATGGAAGCTAGACCAAGGTCATAACCAACCTGTTTCATTACTCTAGGGCTTGCTGTGTGGGATAGTTTTTGGTGCTCATTTAAAAATTATTGATAACGGGTACCGCATCATACATTTTCCATGGACTTCTTAGAGGTCAGAATAGGCCATTGACCTAAAATGACCTAGGGCAACATTTTGTTTTTAGAAACATACTGCATAGCGTACTATTTGTTGCTTCTCCAAATGCAAAACACAGAGCAGTCTGCTACGATTTTTGTCACCATGACCTTCAAAATGTTCAACAAGGTCGCTGACCTTAGATGAGCATGCGACCTTTTGGTTAGAAACAGTGATCTAGGTTCTGGGGGCACTTTGGAGATCAACCTGGAATTTTTCCCTGTTTGATCTTATTTGACTCAAAGGTCAGGATCTAGGAACCTCAAAATTTGACCTGAGTGAGTTCACGTACAGGTCAATGCACCCTGTAAATTTGGTGTCTCTAGCTTTCTTAGTTCCCGATATCCTAGGGGGTAAAATAAACCTCCCCACCCGAGCGAAGGGAATCTAGCCGGCCTCCCCGGCGCGTGTTAACGTGCCGCAGTCCTCGGCACGATCCGTCCCGCCCTATGACGTCATTTTACCTCTATCGCGGCCGCTGCTACCGGCCGCAGGCCCATACCTGCCAGGGGCAAATTGCAAGCGCCTAAAGCGACTCTACCTCATCCCACCAAGGATGGGTGAATCGGAATGCAGACGCTCTAACCAATCGAACCACTGAGACGTTCAAAGCAACTGCAATGGCTTTTCGCCGCCGTCGCCGTAGCTGTCCCGAAATGACTATCAGTCTGTACGGGCCAATTATGTTGACGGGGCATGTGGGGAAAATTATCGGTATGTCGTTTGACCGACGCTTACCGTCCCGAAAGCATGTTGCAACCCTACGAGACAAGTGTTTAGGTTCCTGACCATCTTGAAGTGCGTGGGACGTACGTCGTACGGCGGTGATAGGAAGACCCTGTTACGTTTGTGCCGCTCCCCAACCTGTTCTAAACTAGGACTGTGCCTGTTTTATCTACGATGGCGCATACGGCTCGATTAAACGCACACCAAACACAGTCCATCATGCTGTACTCTGCATTTCTTAGCAGCTTTCCGTACATCACCGACAGGAAGTCTTCTGGTGTAGGTTCGCAATCCTCCACAAGCAATGCGCCCTGGGTCTGCACCACGCATGCGGGCTGTCGCAATTCTGTGGTCCTCCAAGCTACCAAACACAATTTTCACGTAGCATGTCATGTTCTTTTCAACAGCGTTGTTCACAACAATCTTCACCATTCTGCGTGGCGTATTCATGAGCTCCTGGACCAGATTGGTCTGGGCTTCAGACGTCGTTATTAGGCTTGGCCTCATGCAGACTCCTCCTGGGCTTTACCTCTGGCCTGTACCTCTGTGTGCGGGCCCGTAACGTACTCATGCTGCTGCCCATGCATCTGTCTCCACACCTGAGCTAGCTGCTAGCATCATTGGAAATTGGTGGCCTCCGGCGTCCCGGAATGATCACTCTTGGCTTCCTTCCTTTTTCACTGTGTGTTAACAATCTTCCGTGCGTCATTTAATCCAGCTGTTTTTCTATGCCGACGATGCACGCATTTTTCCGTAAAATTACGGCCCCAGCTGACGGCCTGCTCCTAAAAAATTACCTCGATCATCTGGTAGCGTGGTCGGTCGGGGGGGGGGGGGGTGAGTGGCTTACCCCGAACCCTGTGAAATGTAGCATGTTTAGGATGACCCTTAGGCGTTCCCCCGTCTGGACCAAGCATTTCACTGATATAAATTATTTTGAGCATGTGTGTAAAATTAGAGACTTGGCGACCTGGAGACAGCGTAACGCTGGATAGCGAACTAACTTTCGCTTCACATGTATATAGTCAGTACAGGAAACCGAGCACTTCGTCTCCCTATTCGATCCCCCAAGCCGGTACCGGCTGGTCAAAATTTAACCGGAGCCTGTGGACGACTGCGTATTTTGTAAACGTGCGATCGGTTGGTTTTAGGATATTGTAGCGTGGTGCAATATGGGCGGGGCGGCCAATTCCCACACCGTGCCGGTCGATCGAGTGCAGCATAAGTTTCCTTTTAGTTACTTACTCACGCCTGATTCGGGGCAAAACAGCTTCTCTTTCTTATGAGCGCCTTCTGCTTCATGTCGAAACCCTATCTCTAGCAGTACTAAGATTGCAGCAACGATTTACCCTTTCTGAGAAACATCTTCCAAGGTAACTGGACTCCCAAAGCTTGTTAAACTGCTTCTCCTTGCTTGTGCCGCCTAGATCGACCCCCGCACCCGAACTATGCTCACTATGCCTTGCGCTGGTGTGCAGACAGTACAGAGAGAGATGTTTTGCAGGCTGCTAAGCGGTTGGGACCACATTTTTAGCCCGGCGTAACACTCAACGTGAATATCTTTCATGACAGTTTCGACATTTTTAGAGCTGAACTAATCAAGTAGTTTCATACTCTGGAGCATCTTCACTTGGAATTGAGATATGTCATTCTTTAATTATGTTCATTTCTGCGTGTCGTGTATTTATTACACTGCATTTAAGTGACTTCACCTGTTAGTGGAATGCTGTTTTGTTACCTATTAAATAGAATAAGCAAATACATAAATCAAAGACTTTATTTTGTAGAGGTAGACACCAAGGACTCAAATTTAATATTTTCCGACACGCTGCACAGCCTTTTGGGTCTCTTTGGCCCGTGTTTGACTTACCCGCTTGTCCAAAATATTCTCTCCCGCGTCTTACCTAACTGGATCGGGAAAACGGTGATCTTGTGTTAGATTCCGAGTCACGTGAGGATCTCTGGAGATGATCCCGCCCAATGCAGCAGTCAAGTGTGCTACGCAAAGAACACGCATACACGTTACACCATGACCTGTAAAGAACATGTACCCAGCCTTTTCGTCATTTATGCAGGAGAGATGG